TGGTTTTAAAGGCAATAAAATGAGAATTAGCTTATAAAAAAATAGTTTATGACTGATGAAAACTGTCATTATTCTTCAATTAAAAAAAAAAAAGTGTTTCTTCTCTCAGGCAACTTTTGAAAATATTACTTAGTGCCTTTGGTGTCAAGAGGTGTAGGCCAATATACTTCGTGGTGATAGAAATGATCATCAGACAGCTGAGGAGTAAGGTGAGTGTTTTGCGAGTGATTGTATTTCTGTGGGTCTTGGATCTCCTGGGTTCTTCTCTGATGTCTAGCAAAATTAGTGTTCTTGTAATTAAGTTTGTTCTCACTAATTCCTAGGGCCATTGTAGCAATAAAAGAATCATTTTCAGTTTGTTTCTCTTCTCTACCCTGGCTATAATAACTTATAACAATGAAAATATTTCTCTTTAAGGAAACTTTCAGGATCCAAGTAAAACTTGACCAATTTAAGGCTTTTCTCAGGCATTAGGCTGCACACTTGTAGTAGGGGATCCTGTGCACAGGCAAGATTTTTGGAGCTCATCTATGTATACCTTGGATGTGATCATCTAAAATATGTTTTTTGTTTGTTTGTTTGTTTTTAAAATTTCAGTAAGTTAAGATTATACGTTTACAAATATATTCTCAATCTGTCTTTCATTTTAGAGAGTTTCTAAAACCTTGTGATACAAAAGCAATTTATATGGAGAGGCTATATAATATTTTTTTCTGTACAATGTGAAATATATAACTGTACAACTGTGAATTCAGTGTGAGAGGTGTGAAAGAACAAGAAGAATCATTACTTAGTTCAGGAGGAGTTTATTAGGCAGAATGCAGTTATGCTGGTGGGCAAAGTGCAATAGATTTCCTATTAACTGTTTAACAGCTGTCTACAACAGCAGACACTTTATAAATTAATAGATGTGCTCAAAACACAGTGGCTGCAGAGAAAAAGATTAGAATAGGGCATAGATGAGCATCCAGTTCAGTAGCTACTATTTAGTATCATCATAATTCTGTTTTTTTCTGAGTAGCAGAGAAACGTGTTTTCACAGAAAATATTAAAGAGGATCCACTTCTAAAGTCTGTTCAGCAGCTCATTTTACTAAATGACGAGTGTCTATTATAAAACTCAGACGTAAATTATTCAATTGAAGACTCCATCACTATTCTGAAGGGAAAAATGCAGCTACAGTATGAATGGACAGTGTAAGTGGCTGATGTAGATGGGGTGACCTGATTGAGAACACGTGTGCTGCACCTGGCAATGCTAAAGAAGAGATGACAGCCAGTAATTCCTGCCTGTTATTTAAGGTTAAAAGTAGGGACATTAAATTGTCAATAATTAATTACAGCTTTATTGAGAAGTTAATTATTATAGCCTTTCAGGGTACAGAAGGCTGCATGAATCTTCCATACTGGGGTTTAGTCATTGAGATGCAGTTTAGCATTCTCATCCTGACACAGAGCAGAGTGGATGATCCTGCTTTATAAACAGAAATGCTGATACCTTCCTGCACCCTGCATTAAAATAAATACTCTACTTAGTTCCAGTGACTACTTCCTCAGGGAAAAGGAAAGGACTACTTTCATCAGGAAAAGTTGAAGCAGAGCAAAATACATTTCTGTCAGTGCTAGTTTTAAATGGTTCTCAGTGTTAGAAAAAGATGAAAAGAATGTGTGCATGTGAACAAACTGAGGAAGTACTGAAACTGGGACACTTCAGATGGATGAAGTCTCTAAAAACATATCTTAATCTCTTAGGAGGCAAGGACTACCTGAGGGAAAAGTGTACCCAAGGCAATGCATATTCCAAGAAATCAGAAAATTATTCTTATACAAGTAATGTACTCAATCACTTCTGCAAGGGTGATACGGCTTTAATAATAAGATCATGGTTAAAAACATTAAAGCAATTTGAGAGTAATACATCTTCCATTTGTAATAAAAAATGGTACAAAGATGCTACTTGGTCGTGTGCTAACTTGTCTGGAAAGATTTGATTTACATTTCTATTCCTGATCCAGTATCTTGTACTGTGTCAGGTTTCATCAGCCACATCATCTTACAGCACCCAGAACACAAGGGTCTGAGCAGACCTTGTGGCATTGTTCATTATGTAGCATAATGTTTGGGGGTTTTATTTGAAGTTTTTAGCTTTACCAGATTTGAAAATCCATGACTTCCTTGTTTATAAATTCAGCAATTCAGTCATTATGTGAGTTTCAAAAATCACAAAAAATAAAATCTTCTGTAGACTGTTGAAAAATATAAATATTTTAATGAAAATGAAGCTGGAAGTTTTACTTATGAGTCGATTTCAGTGGTTGTAAATGCAATTTGATAAAGCTTGTATTGACTATTTCTAAATCTATTATTTATTCCTATTTCTATTCTTGCTATCTTAATTACAGAAGTATAACAGTGAGTGGTTAATTTAAGTTTCAGAGTGATTGGTACTTTAAAGACTCCCACTTGTGCTCCGTTATGTCATTAGAAGGACTCCTATTGACTGTACCATTCTTTCTATTTTTCACTTTTTCAGTTTTACTTTCAAGCTATGATTTTCTGGCTATGACTCTTTCTAAGGTTAGATTTCAGTTGTTGTTTTGTTGTTGTTGTTTTTTGGGGATATAAAATTTCATTTTGGGAGAAAATGCACTCTTTCTACAGACATCTGTAATCCTTCTGTCTTAGACAGGAGATTGGATACCTTGGACCTGAAAAAAAAAAAAAAAGAAAGGAAGCCATTTGATGTAATTCATCAGGAAGTAGAATGCAGTCTGTGCAATAGTCCTGTATCGGGGTACTTATTTCTCTCTGAATGACCACAAGAAGTCAAAATAGTTACGTTTTCATTTCACTAGAATTACATTTCCAATATAAAACCTGACAAGTTAAATTTTGAAAAGCTCTATTTCAGAAGGAAAGCAAAAATTTTCTTAAAGTCAGTTTTCCTAAGGGAAAGCAAGTCCTCTAAACACAGTGAAGCACCTGCACTTGATAGAAGAATAAAACTGGTTTAAAGGTGTTAGACTAATCTGGCAGGGAAATTTAGCTAATTTGTTTGTAATGAAGCATCAAATTAGATGAAACTAAATACAAACATAGTTTGTTTGTTTCTTATGATTTTTTTTTCCTTGATACTTATTCCAACCTTGGAAGAGAAGCACTTGGCTTTAGTAAAACTGATGAGTTGCATCATCACAGGCTCTCAACCAGGGAAAAATCCCTATGTGACCAACTGATGGAAAAGCAGTGTACTTAAATCCTGAACTACAAATACAGCAATTATGTTGATCTGCCCTCAAACAAGTATGGTGAAGAAAGAAGCAGCTAGATGACAATCATGGATGGTCACAGACTGGGGGAAGTGCGACTGATCTGCCACGAGCTCTGTGAAATAGCTCCGAGGCTGTTGCAGAGACCAAGTCTTAAAAGTGTTTGATGGCAAAAAGCAGGATAGTTCAAAAAGTTAGGATGTGGAATTTTAGTGAGTGTGTCATCTACAGGTGCAGGTCATGCTGTCTAGGCAAAATAAAATTCTAGCTTTCTACGCCTCCTCTGCTCCTTAATAAAAAACCATAAGTACGTTGTACGTAAGTAAGGTGTTTTAAGCTGATCAGAAAATGCCAGAAAGATAGTCATTTTAGTCTGGGCAGACAGATAAAGGTCTAAAGCAGAGAATTAGATCAGCAGATCATCATTGTGGAGATTAAAGTTGAAATTGTATTTATGAAAAAGATCATTCGAGACAAGATTTAGAGCAAAAGAATCAGGGAGCTGGGCAGGAGCCTGCAGAGCCCCAATGAGTGCAGTCATTCCGAGGGCCCTGAGGGTTCAATTAACCTTGACAGCCTGGAGTCTCTTAAAAGGAGCAGAGCTTACGAATGAAATGCAATGAAAAATTACTACTTTTAAACTATTGGCAGTTTAAAACCTTGTCTCGACAGCAAAACCTACTCGGCAGACACCTCTAAAATGCTGTGCACTAAATGTGCTGTAAATTTATTCTTCTGGCAGGTTTATTTCTTCGTTAAATATTTATGTTAGATGGATTTTAGCATATGCATGACGTTGCTGTAAATTGGGTTAGAAATTTATCAGGTTAAGTCATGTTAGAATCTGAAGGTCTCATTCTTAAATGTTCAGTCATGTAGCAAAGAGGGGACCTACAAATAACAGTCCTCAAAGCAAAACGTAATAAATTTGAAGAAGCAACTCTATTTTTCAGTCAACTCATATAGGTATCATTTTGTTTTTTTTTTTTCCTTCTTCCATGATCCTATATGTTATACCTGATTGAGTACACTTTTATCATCATATTCTGTTATATGAGATTTTTTTTCCAATGTTATAGTAGTGCAATCAGCCTAAAAGAAGAGGATCTAAATTTTCAGTAGTGTCCCTCTTATGTTAAGTTGTTCTCAAATAACTATTTGTTTTCTTTTATGTTAAACAGAGTACTTTCCAGCATCTTGACAAATGAACTCTTCTGCTTGCTATGATATATAAAGAGAGAGCATTAACAATAATTTAACAGATAAATAGTTCTCTGCCAGTGGGTAGCTCTGTGAGTTTTCCTTTCTTCTGGCTCTGTATTTGTGCTATACAGCCACCATCACATGTATTGCACTGCACTGCTTCTATTTCATGATTTCAGTATTAAGTATACTTAATAAGAATAACAACCAAGGAAAACAGTACACAGCCAATTCTAATGTGGAGCTCCTGCTAAACAATCACAAAACCTTGTGAATATATGAAAATGTTCTTTAATACAACTGGTAGTTGTATGGATGTTTGCCAGTAAAAAGTAACATTACCCTATAAGTTAGTGCATATCAGGTTATGCTTTCATGGGAGGGTGGGGGTGGAAGGAATTACATTCACAAATCAATGCATTTAATATTTGAACAGCTTTAGTTGACATTCTAATGAATAGACTTTGCAACTAGGAAATTCCCTACATGACCTTTGCAGAATGATTTATTTTTTTTTAATTTCTTCTAGAAATCCCATCTGTGTTTTTGATAACATTCTGGAACAAGTTCAGTGGCGATCTTAAGATCCATATGGATCTTATTATAGTCTTTCTTGCTATGGGACTCTGTGAATTGAGGTGAGTTGCGAAAGATTATTAGCTAAACTCAATGTAATTAATTAAAATTTCAGATTACTAGTAATCTGAATTCAGTAAAATAAGTTTATTAATTAAAAGGAAAAAAAGCTGTTGCATTCAGATAAATTTTGTTAGAAATATATGATCTTTGTAAGTGTCACTGTTTTTCATCTTCCTTGTAATATATAGAATAGGAATACTTAGAATAATGGAGCATTCATGTTTATTAAATTCACATTTACTTGGCAAGAAAAACTTCAACCTCCTATGTTCATTAAATACATGGATCCTAAATAATCAAACATGCTGACTGGCATAGCCAGCAGAATATTCCTGTTACCTTCTTAATCTCCTCTCCACCACTCAACCAACCTCTTACTCCCTGCTAGAAGAGAATTAGAAAGTTGTACCACAGGAGAAGGAATACAGGAATTGTTATTGTCGTATTTGTTACAGTGATGCCTTTTCTAAAAGCTCAAAACTCATTTTCTGATGACTATATTGAATTTTGGCATTCACGGTTACACTGAGGCTAAAAATCTGAGTGTTAGGTCTTTCTTGCCTTGTCTGTCCTGTGTGTGTTTTTGTGTGTCATATGGGATGTTACAGAGCATTTATCAGGCAATAGCTGTTAAGGGAAAAAGAACAAATGCGGTAGAGACATTGAATAATGTAATTATATAGCTCTTGGTATGGATGTGTACAGTTACTTCCCATATTGTGATTTCCACACAAAAAAAGAAGAGGAGAGAGTAGGCACCATGAGCATTGGTTACATCCCCCAGTTTCCAAGGTTCAAAGTGCAAATGGTACAGTCTTCTGCAAAGACTTCTAATTTTGATATTAAAGACTTTATAGGGTAGAGAATCCAATGTATCTCTGGATATTTTGCTCCAGTAAGAACAGAAGAATAGCCAGCGCTCCATGCCACTCTCCCAGAATCCTGTCCCCTGGCAGTGGCCAGGGAGAGTATAAGGAAAAGAGCAGCATGAAATATATCCCCCATACTTTTGTAGTTTTCATGTGTTTGTACTTTGAGAATTTCTGAAACCAAATGGGATTTTGTGTTATGCTTGAGCCTCGGTGGTTTTGTCTCATCTTCCCAAGCATTGTCAGTCTCACCAGTGTTCCAGTAGATCCCTCAGTTCTCATAAGAATCAATCATGATGTGTAATAGGTACTGATTTTCATGTTTGAAAATTTTCAGACCTAGATTATTATAAATCTTAACACAGCAACTTCTGAAAATGCAATGTTGCTCTTCTTTTTTTTTGTTACAATATGAGGCCAAGAAAAGCTTATATGGTGTAAATGTAAAAACTTATATGGTGTAAATGACCATGGCAGGACCTGTCTGCATCTAATGCTTCATGGCTGTGCGCATCACTCACTGCACTTGTTTTTCACAAGTAGCCAGAGAACAATGAATATTGGAGTAAAACAGCTGGCTGAAAATGTTAAATTGTGAGAAAAGGGAAGTAAGAAACTTATCAGTGCTAATAAAAACAGTCTTTCAGGCACTTAACATTTTGATACTATACTCACAATGAACATTTAAATTCTGTGAAACAATAATTTTCCAACTTTTCTGAGTGATAAGTGCTAACAAAGAAAATAAATATTATAATGCTCTAATGTGCTCTTCTGAGGAGGTTCTTGTATGCATTATTTGCTCCTAATCTCTGTCCAGAAGATATTATTAGGATATTACGCAGTTCATATTGCTCCACTTACTCTTAACTGTTAGTATCATATATGCCACTGGCAAGAAACTAGCAAGTGGTATACAAACCAAATCTATAGTCCTATCTAAGATGAAAAGCAGGGATTTGTTTATATGTATTCTTTCAAATAGGCCATTAATATCCAGAATTAACCCAATTTTAAAAAAATCCCTATTATTTCTTTTACCAAAATGTTTCTTTTCCAAAATGTTTTTTGTAGCACAAAAAACAAATAGGGGTGTTTGATATACTTCAGGCAAGCTAACATTAAAGTCATGGCATTTATGATTTTTATTCATATCCTTTATTTCAGTGACTTCCTGCTTTTGGAGCCAATTATGAGGTACATAAAGTGTTTGTAGTCCTAGGAAGGAAATTTGCATAAATGTATCTTGTTCTTTTTCCATTGCAATAGGAGTCTCAACACATCACTGTGAATCTAGGCCAAGCATTCTGAGTCCATAAGCAGTTGCATAAATTTGTATCAATAAAACATACTTCCTTTGTTTTGCCACTCAATAAGGAACCAGTTATAGGAAGAAATAACTTGAAATCTGTCTTTCTGATGTAGTTTTTGTTATCAAGAGTTATATCAAGTCCTGATAGGTAGCATGTTTGTTTCATAAAAGATAGAGAGGAGAAACGGAGACTTGCATTCTGCTCTGTACTAGTGATTTGCCATTTGTTTGAGCTGGTACTACTCAACGTGCCTCTGTTATTGCTGTGCCACCATCCCATTCTTTCTGTCTGACCTATTAAGTAGAACTCAGCAGAAGTGTTTTTATTGTTGGATATCTGTTCAAAGGAAGCAGGGTGACAAGCAGAGCTTTGAGCTTAGCTACACTCACTGTTATTATGCAGTTAAAAATATTAGCAGACTACAAAGGGACTGAATTAATGTTATTGGGTAACATGTGGCACATGTGTTGTCTGTAGGTTTGTGCCCAGTGCACCGTGCCAATAAGCACACAGAGTTGGAATCCACACAAAAGTCTTCTTCGAGGCTTCATCTTCAAGGCTTCATCTTCAGTGGCTGTCCATCTCTTTCCTGCATTAACCAGTCTGTACACCAGTCTGATGATGGTACCTTGGGTAAGTTTTTTTTTTTCTTTTTTTTTCTCTTTGTGGTTATCTTTGCCATCCTTATAGGGTCATTTCACTTTCAGAAAGCCCTCCACACCTTTCAGTGTCTTTCTGAACAACATTACTTCATTTGAAATCTATGCTTAGAACTAGTTCATTGTATGAAACAGTCATGATAGTAATTCGTCCAGGGGAAATTGCTTTTCCAAAGGTGGAGAAGTTAATTAAGTGTATAACAGGAGGAAGCTAAACCTTACTAATTAGTGAGAAGGGTAACGATTATGGGAGAGAACGGATGACACTTGGCTGAAGACGAACTCAAGAAATTGCTTTAGCCAAAAGGAAGTTAGAAGAGTGAATAGAAGATGAGCTTTAAGAAAGCAAAGACTGTCGCTGTGTCCTGATAAATTATACCTCATTTATAGTGTGTCTGCTAGATGTTAATCAATAATACGTCGGGATGATCCTTCACTCTTAGGCACGTAGCCTGCTCTCTGTTTTATAGAATTTCACTTAAATCCTTTGGGTTCTCTCCCTGGGAGGATGTACTAAATGAAAGGGTAGCAACTCTTACACACAACTGTAAGAATGTTTACAGGGGTTCTGAACTTCTGCAGTGAAGAAAGGGCAGCACCAGAGCTTGGCTCTGCTAGCCCCTTGGAAAGGCAAGGACAGTTGATCCTGGCAGGCCTACTGACAGTGAATTGTACAGCCATAGCACCCATATCATAGCAAAATCAGATGCCAAAATATTGGCTTCAGATTGCTCATCTCTTACACTGCTGTATTCACCTCTGAACAATAAAGACATCTAACATTCAGGAAAAATAATTAGTTCAAAGCCTCCTGCTTAATTAGGTTCGTATTCTAAATTCACTCTTGCTGGTCTTAGCCCTAGATAAGTGGTGACAGTTGTATTGCTGTAGTCAGGATAAAAATATTTTACTTTGATTTTTCTGTTGGGGAAAAACAAAAGAAGAAGAATGACTGCATTTCCCATTATTCTGGTGCATAGAACTCAAATGTTTGACCCTTTATGTGTCATTGTAGTTGTTCATTGGGAAGTATTAGAGGATCATCAATCCACTTGTGCCTTCCTGTAAAGGAGCATTGCTTTTGTAGCTAAAATGTTTAATTGGTTTCTTTGTGCATCCTCCAAAGCTAGGTTAAATTTGTATTAGTGAAGAGGACTAATTCAAGGTTAATATGCTGTTTAATTCTTACTTTAGAATTTAAGCAAGTACTGGTCTTACACTGGAAGACAAGTTGATATAAGCCTTCCAGACTTATATGTGTTAGTCAGCAATAACATATAAGCATGTGTATGTCTCTCTGTATGTGAATATATATGTGTATATCTATATATATATAGAGAGAGAGAGATTTTTTTTTATGAAAGTTTTTCCTTAGGTAAAATTTATTTTGGCTAATATCAGTACTCCTTAGTAAAGTTTTACTGAGCTGGAATAAAAGTACCTAGGGGAGAAATTAAGATAAGCGTATCTAAAGGAAAACTATATATATGCTTCAAATGACGTTTGCTATTTAATCGTAAATAAACTTCAGTATCTTTAAGACAAAAACCTATTAGACAAATCTTGAAAAAAAGTTAGATGTATAACTGTAACTACCCATTTAACACTTAAAAATAAGGAAAAACATTTATTCTCTTATTATAAATTTGCATGATGCTGTTGGTAAAATTAGAGGAAACTGCAACACTAAAAGACACATTTTTAAGCCTGCAAAATACTAATCATCAGATTAGAAAAAAAAATATTGAAGGAGTGAGAAATTCCAACTAGAAGTTGTTGGACATCGATACTGGTGCTCTCCATTTCTGGACTGTTTCCCACATGTTGTCCATTACCTTCATCCTGTTTCCTTAGATCAATGGAGAAGATGGCTTCTATGTTTGGTCTAAAGCAAAATTTTTATTCGTAGTATGAATTTAGAACTAATTGTCATTCATACCTTAGTTTTAATAAGCTTTTAAAATGTTTTAAAATAGTTTTAGTAAGATGTTTCCATTTTGTGTTTTTACATATTGTCTGCAGTAATGGAAATATTGAGCTATGAAAAATTCCCTCAATTGACAGAGGATTAAAAATGATAAAGCCATGTTGTATCTATAGAAGAATCAAACCAATAGTCCTAGATTCATGTTAGATGTTTCAACAAAGAGTATAAATAAATAAACAAAAATAGTATCATTAATCAGTTATAATTAAATATAATCAGTTCTTTCTCAACATCTTCTTTCTGATCTTCACTTAAAGGTAGTGTATTATAAAGTTCTGTTTCTCAGTGACTTTGTCTATACTGCATTCCTTGGCCTATTTGTTTAACCAGATGAGATAATTATAATGTTGACTTACACTGTTATAATGACAGATCAAATTCAAACTGCTCACAAGTACTATTTTATCTTGTTGCATCATGTTGACTTCAACCTTTCATAAATAAGGGCAGCACTCAAAGTCTGGTATACTATAGGCAAATACTAGCACATGTTTATGATTTTTTATGGTTTCATTTTCTAGACAAGTAAAAACAAACATAGTTCACCTTTGGTTTCAGTATGTCTTTTCTTTGAAGCAGTAGGTGTGGCCTTTCATCAGTCTAGTTACTGGTACCTGCATTCCGCAACCAATTCTTTGTTCTTTTACTTGGTCTGAATTGATAGTCAGTGTCCTGGAAAGAACAGAAACAGAAGAGATAAAAGCTTTTTTTCTTTGCTCACTGTTTAAATGGTAATAAGAGATGCAGTAACACCACAACATGGAAAAACAGATAATATGTTGTAAACTGTTAAATATCGATCGTCTTTGTTTAGAGGATATGTTAGTGACTACTCTTTTTTTTGCCTGTTCTGGATTGAGTAAATTCATAATCTCTACTAAATGAATTGTTTTTAAGAGAGTTGTTAATAGATTCACAAGATGGATTGACATTTCAAAGGAGAAATAATGCACTTAAAGTTTCTCAGCGTTGCATTCCTGGGATGCAATTTATTAGCTGAGGTGAAATGGAACTTTTAGGACCCACTTTCAATGTAAGTCTAGATCAGTTTACTAGGACAATTCCTAATAGAAGACGTAAATTAAACAAAAAAGGGAAAACAGGGCGGGGGGGCAGGATCAGGATATATTCATGTTGGTTGGTGATGTAATGTAATTTAAACTGTCTTGGGGTCTAGAGCACTAGTGGTAAGCAGCAATGCCAAATCAGATAAAAAAGGTTCTCTGTTAGGACATGTAGGATGTTGAAAATCTGCATGCTACCAAACACTACACATAGTTCATATGATGCTTCCTCTAAGTAACTTACCATGGCCTATTTTGTTATCCACTAAGGGTTGTTCATATTTACTCTCGATAGCTTGTGTGGACTACTATTCATTTCTTTTGTTTTAATGCCTGGAGACTCTTCTCACTTTATATAGACAATACTTAGTGTGGTAGGTGCCTTATAAATAATACTTCCATGTAGAAAGTGTGGGTATATATATATCTATATGTATCTACTCATTATTAGTCATTGGTGAGGACTGTCAGTTGTGGATATGAATTGAATAGCTAATAGATTCATTAGTGTTACTCCATTTCTGTATTCATGTTTATAAAACCCTTCAAGCTTTGCCTGCAGTCTTACACACTACACCTGCTTGATGATGTACCATGTTGAGATAAAAATAAAGAAGCTTTTGATAACAAAGATGGTTGGTAAAAATCCATGAGAGCATATCATAGGAAAGGAAGTGATGGCAAGAGATGCAAATACAGAAAGCATTGCCATCTAGTCAAGATGAATGGACATTATAAGGAACTTTTGTAAGTTCTGTTACTTCCATCTAGTGTAAAATGAGCACATAGAAAAATAGCAAAGGTCATTTGTTGCCTTAAGGAAAACTGTCAAAGTTGATTATAAGGTTTGCTTTCAATATGAAGAGGAAGGAGAAGCTAAATTCTAGACAGAAGTATGAAATCAAAGTAGAAAAGATATATACCCTCTAATTTGCAACAAACCTTTAAAGATCTTACCACAGAGTCCTTTTATAGTATGAGAGTTTTAGATATAACATTGATGCTATTAATGGAATAGTGAAGTGGAACAGTAAATGAAAAGGCCATAAACATCCTTTGTTACTCTGTCACATTCCCTGGCTATTCAAACATCCCCAGGGGAAGCAATGGAGCTTCTTGCAAATTAAAAGAAGTCAGCCTCAGCTCATGTTTTGATGACCTTGACTGATCTTAGATTTGTACATATAAATGTTAGATACTACTCTATTTCTCTACCTTTGTCCTCAGGTCCTCTAGAAGGCAAAGAGAAGAAAGTAGTGAATTCTTAGAATATAGGATAAACACGTTTCATTCAAACTATTTGGAATTTCTCATTAAGTTCTGCTCTTGTGTAGATTCTCTCACATTCTGATTCTGTTCAAACAAGTTCTTACATATGTGCCTGATGAAAAAGTTTCAATCTTTGTCCATTTTTTTTTCTTTTTAATAAATCTAACTTTTTTTTTTTGCATTTGCAACACTGTAACTACATTTATGCAAAATTTAATTTGTAAACATTGGTGAAATTAATTCACAATATTCTGTGGACTTGTCTATCCTCATTTTTCTTTTCTTTTCTTTTGTTCTGTTTTTTGCTTTTCTGCTGAAGACCTTATAGTCATCTTACTTAGAAGAGAAACTGGGCGCTTGACTGTTTTGATTAAGATGGGAGTTATTTAATTTTGTTGAATGTTGCCATCTATAGCTATTTGTTGGCAGAAAAAAATACTTTTTTTTTTTTTTCCTATAAATATCCAGGAAAATTGAAATGGGCTTTGCACTGGGTTAATGGAAGGTATTTGTCAAATGTATAAGGGCAAAAATATTTAGTTGTGCTGCAAGAATGTATGCTAAGAGAACAGATGGATTTGATCTTATGTCACCTTTCCTTTCAAATGTCACTGTTACATCATGATATCATCAGAGTGGTCTGCGCTCTTGGAC